ACTTTGCTTTCATTAATATCAAGTTTATGCCTTTCATTTCCTTTCGTTTACTTAGTTAACTCTTACATACTACTACTAGTATTATTATTATTATTACTGCTACTAATATTATTGTTGTTACTGTTGTTGTTTATAATTTTTATTTATAATTTGTACAATTAACCTCTCTATGGTTTGACCTCGGTCTTGTCGGGTTATTTATTACTTCGACACTCATGCATTTAGGAGAAGACAACAAATTTATGATTTTTTTTTAGTAATAATATTTTTTAAAAAATTATTAATGATAATGACAATGGTAATGATAACAATAAGAATAATACTATTGATTATAAACTTAGCTCTAACGCCCTAGTCAGACCCAAGTTTATGGGGTTTGGTTCCCTTAATAACAATAAAATATTAATAGTTTTTAATCTTTTCAAATCAAATTTATTGTTCTTCTTCAATTGTAATATGTTTTTAAAAATTAATAATAATAAAAATAATAAAAATATTAAGAATAAGAATAACACTAATAATAATAATAATAATAATAATAATAATAACAACAACAACAACAATAATAATTTTTAATTTTACCATTCAAATCAAATATATGGTTTTTTAAATTTATTAATAATTATATTAATAATAATGACAATAATAATATTTATAATAATATTAAACATATTTGACCCAAGTACTTATAGTTTTTAATTTTACCCTTTAAAACAAATCTATAGGTTTTTTCAATAGTAATAATATTTTTTAAAATTTATTAATTATTATATTATAAATAGTTATTATAATAAAATAATAATATTTATAATACAAATAATAATATTAAACTTGCATGATCCAAGTTTAAGTGGATCTAGCTACAATGTTAAGTCCAAGAGCCTTAAATGTAGGTTTAGTTGTAAAGCAGTGTCGTGAAGTTATAATGACTAAAGAGAAAAAATTAATATTAAAGAATAAAGGTAAACAAAAAAATTAATAAAAAAGAAAAAAACAAAGCAAGCGAGGAGGGGTACAATAAAATCTCTTCATAATATCATGATAATCTAATGAAAAGTTAATAAAATAAATTTTAAAGTTTAATTTTCAATAAAATCGATGTTAAAATATGAAATTTGAAGAAAAAAACTAATTAGAAAAAAAGAAAAAAAATTAAATCAATTAGGTGAACTTGTCATACTAGTTTAATCCATCAAATGTTGGAATCCGTATCATTAGAGTGTAATAAATAAATAAATAAATAATTTAATATTAACAAACTAAATTAAATAAAACATATTAATTAAAAATAAAAAAAATGTATAACTAAAAGGTATCTTGCATTCAATCTATAGTTACAAAAAAAAGATGCAAGAAAATAAAAACGAGCACACACGAATCCTAAACTCAATTACACCCACTCTGACTCTACCTTGATTAATTCAATAAAATAGCATTACAATGAATGGATAAATATCTAGAAAAAGATGCTAAGATATACAAATTGGTATTTAATAAGAGTGTTGATGGTTAGGTTCAAATTAAAAAACCAACTAAATCAAATTAGATTGATTAAGAAAAATATAGATCAAACCTGATTGAATTCCAGTTTAAATTAAATCAATTCAGTTCAGTTTGGTTTTTTTAAATAACACCATAAACCTAATCCATTAATATCTAATTAGTTAGGTAACATTGCTAAAATCAAACTTCTCTCTTCAAACAATTTTCACAATGTAATTGATAAGATTTAACAATATGGGATCCGATTTAGTATAGTTACATCTGTTCAAATGCTTTATATCCATACTGGTTAATTTTTCAATCTTTTTCATAACACTAAAAAGGAGGACTCAATTAAAAAATATGTGAATAGATTGGAAGAGACCACCCAGATAAATCCTTTTGTTTTCTTTTTAATGCAAAGTCATGTTGCAAAAACATGAGGTTACAAATGTTTACGATAGGTAGATGATGTTAAAAATTACCTTCAAAAAAGAGAAAAGAATCGAAGAGTGAAGCCAGGGAGGTAAAGAGATGAGTCTGGGTTTGGCTAGATAATGTGGAAAAGAAAAAATGAGATAGAGATGAGATGAGATGCAAAGCAGATGAAAGCAAAAGGATAGTAAAAAAAGAGAGGAGAATTTTTCACAAGTAATTGATCCAAGAATGAGATGGAGATAAAATGTAAAGCAGATAAAAAGGAAAGGACGAATGAGAGAAGTATTCTTAGACAAAAGCTTTTTATAAGGGGTGGAGAGTTATGTTATGTTAGGGTTAAGTTAATTTATATATTTTTTTAATTTTTATAGATATTAGGTATTTTTTGTTGGATCAGTTTGGTTTATTAGTTTACATTGTAAATCAAAATCAAAATCAAACCAAATAAATTTTATGATTTTTAAAATTAGTATAATTAGTTTTTCATTTTGGTTGAATTTTTTTTGTTATTGTTTTTAATTTTTTTAATTTTTATCAGTTAATTAATATTTTTAAATACCGCCGGCATCCAGTAACCTCTCGGCAACTAAGGAAGCTCTTTCTCATAGACAAAACATTGCTCTCGTATTTGCTTACATGTAATTGTGAAGCTCCTAAAAAACCTTGAAAATTTCTTCCATTGGCTGCAGGTCACACGAGCTGCACACAAAATTACAATACTGAAGCTTGAAAATTATAAAAGCGTGGAAATTGAATTTAATATCTGTAGCCTTTAACCTTTTTGGTTCAATTACCCACAACAGCAAAACACCACATTCAAGCATAGGATGTTTATCAGGGAACGAAGAAGAGGTGTCTGAATTCGAGATTGCTGAGCCTCCAAGATGATTTGACCACCTGGACTCCCTGGGTACAGGTGATATGACTGATGAGATAAAAGGCACCTCGGGAGATGAAGGTGTAGCAAGCTGAGCAGATTCCGAATGGATTCCTAGTGAGATAAATAGGGTTCTTCCAATTAATTTTTACCCCATATAATGAACAGTAACAAGTGTTTTGTATACACCAAATTCAAAACACTGTTTACAGCAGCATATGAATTGAATTTGGAGTATTCTTGTAATCAATGTTTGAGAGTATACTGATCCTTATTTTTTAAAGCATATTTTATTTAAAAATATATTAAAATAAAATTATTTATTTTTAAAAGTTATTTTTAATTTCAATACATTAAAATAATTTAAAAACACTAAAAAATATTAATTTAAACTAAAAAATAATAAAAATTTAATTCTTTTCAAAAACACCTTTAAAATACAAAAATAAATAATAAACAAGAACTTAATTATATCATATTGCTTCTATCATGAATCAGTAACATGTATATTCAGGGTCGAGAACATCTCATACAAGTTTTGAGAATTTGGGGTTATGTTTAGGATTTGGACGAGAAGAAAAGGTTGAATGTGATGGCTGGTTTTTTTTTTTTTACTTTTAATGATAAAGTTGTAATTTTTAATATAAAAGTTATTTAGTCATTAAATGTAGAAGAATTGTAAATTTATTAACAACCAGATTTTTTATTAAGTCTTTGTTGGAGGATATTAAATTCAGAATATAAATTAGAATTTTTTAAATTATAATAATTAATCATAATTTGAACCAATTATAAAACCTTAAGAGTAATTTTTCTAAAAGAACAATTAACCAAAGAGCAACAAAATTACAACATTGAAGCTTGTAAAATATAAAAGTCTGTGGCACATAAGTATTTTTCTTCTTAATTAATTAAGAAATTAAGAGTACATCCTCGCCCTCATCCCTCGTCCTCATGGACAATATTGCGAGCATACGATTTTTACCAAACCCATTATCCCTTTTCTAATCTCTAATATATATTTTTTTTTTGACAAACATCTCTAACAAAAAACCTCTATTTTATCAAATTACTATAGTATGTCCCATTCTAGAGTAAATTAATTAACCCGATAGGTTCTTCGACTTAAATCTTGTAAGTGTAAATTTTGGATAATCATGGCTTAATGTGTGTGAGTGAGCCTTGTTGCAGATGAAGAATAATACCAAAATTTAGTCATATATATGTAACTTTCATTGAACTGGTCTTGTGCGAAAATCCGATTGCATAATAATATTGCAGGCATCCATATCTCTTAATAGCATGCTTGAAATCTAACCAATGACAGGGACGCGAGTAACAATTCTGTTTTGGTCAATCCATACACGAACCCTAGAGCAAGAGAAATCTTTAGTCACTGGTGTTCCTTCCAGCACGACTTGAGTGTCAACGTAAGGGTTCTGCGTCTCAATTGTCACTACAGCAACCCTTGCTTGTGCTCCAAGGAGCTCTGGCCATGAACTCTTTCCTGAAAGTGCAAAGACATTATTGTTACTGCACACGCACATTCCATTAACAAATGCCATTAATCCTGATCTATGAGTTTATTCATAATTACCTTGACAGTCTGATGCTATATCTCTGATCTTCTTCCCTCTCTTACTTCTTTGATGTTGTTGTACATGTGAGACCCTGATATTGGGTATTTATAGAGCAACATTCTGTAGTTTGTGCTTGACGGGAACTGAGCTTTTAGCCATTACATTCAACATTCAATCCTGTACAGCTAAACGAGAAATTGGACCTCTCTCCCCTAGAAGAACAGCAGTTGAGCCAAAATATAGTATTTATTTTTTTGAGAGACTTTGTCATATGAACACTAAATTAATAAAATAATTTTTTTGTATTTTTTGAAATGAAAAATGTTTTTAGTGATTCTCATTTTCTTGTAAGACTGCAAATTCAAATTCAAACTGTTGTCTATATAAATCATCGGTTGTGATTCATCATGGGCAAAGCTAGATTATGGAGTAGAGGGCAATTGCCTCCGTAAATCTTTTGAACTTTTTCCTTCATTCCTTGAACTTTTTTATGTTTTGATACAGATCCAAATAGAGATGCATTAATTGCTCCTCATAATTTTATTTTTCCCGCCACCAAAAAAAATTACCCTCAAATAAAAAGTATAATTAAATCACTGTGATTGATTGAACTTTCTGTGTGCGGTACAAGTACAACACAAGTGTTGTTCTTCTAGGGGAGAGAGGCGGAGGGAGATTAATGGTGATTAAAGAAAAGTAAAATAACAGCATTAAGCTGGTCTTATTTGAGTTGCAACACAGTGATGCATGGAGAGCATATGATCTCTTATTTAGTACAGTAAAATAAGCACCAGGGGACTCCTTATGATCTCATTTTTGGCAGAACGATTAACCAATTATAGGAACTCGAGTAACAATTCTGTTCCTGTCAATCCAAACACGAACCCTGGTGCAAGAGAACTCTCCGCTCACAACCGTTCCTTCCAGCACAACCTGAGCATCAACATTAGGGTTTTGCGTCTCCACTGTCACTATAGCCACCCTTGCTTGTGCTCCAAGGAGCTCTGGCCATGAACTCTTACCTGCAAAAGTAACAAATGATTGTATCATAACACACTGCAGTTTATACAAAATGCTATTAATTCTAAACTATATGACAGAGTTTAGTCTCTACCTTGACACTCTGAAGCCATTGTGTTTTTTCTAATGCTCCACTCTCTAACAAATATTTCTTTCTGCTGCAAACTAAGCTGTGATTGCATTTGGGATAGTAATGGGTACTTATAGTGCTTCGTGTTCGATAGCTTGACTTCACCGTTACTGACCTTTAACCAAGAAGGCTTTAAAATTCAATTCTGTACAGCTAGCGACGAGAGAAATCGGACTTCCGTTCCCACGATTTTACAGGTGAATTAATCCCCCTGAATTTTTCTTTCTTCGTTTTAACGATATACGCGTTCAAAATAATGATCGATCAAGAAGACGCTCACCCTCTCTCTCTCTCTCTCTGGCCATCAAAACTAATGACTTCGCGCATCTTCTCATTTTTCTTCTCATTTTCCTATTTGTGTGTTTTGTCATGTTGCATAAATTTAAATCATTCAATTAAGATTAGATGGACAAAATTTAAAATATTTTAGTGTAATATGAAGCTTATAACAACTTCATTTTTTATATTAATTAACATATCTCACTTAATTTAAATTCAAGAATTAAAAACCATAGGTTAGATTATTTGAAGTTCGACTAAATTCAGAGGTGTGTTTATTTTTATGGGAAAAAGCCAGTCCATAATTGTGTGTATTTTCTTTTTCTTTTTCCTTCTATTTTGGTAGATGACCTGCCATCATATTTTAAACTTTCACACACATATTAGAATGGTTGTTTTTTATATTTTAAAAATACTTTTGAAAAAATTAGAAATTTTGTTATGTTTTTTATTTTCAAATTAATTTTTTTATTTTGTATTTTCAGATATCTTGAAATGCAGATTTTAAAAATAATTTTTATAAAATAAAAAATATATTATTTATATATATTTTTAAATTAAAAATACTTTAAAAAATAATCATTTATGTATTTCCAAACTCATTATATTTTGATCCAGTCAAAATAAGCAGGTTATCCATATCATGACTGAAGGATTTATGACAATTTGACTTCTGACAACCTAGTTTGAATGTTGACATTCACGAGGGAGCTTAAATCTTAGTTCTCAAACCAGTACTGTATGTGTGTAGGCGCACATGTCATGAAACATTTTATTACCTTGACTAATTATTCAATTTCTATTCAGCTTCCCAGGATTGCAGAATATTGAGTTCAGCTCTATCTCCTCCTTTAGTTAGGGTTCTAAAATCAATCACCTTTTCTATGTGAAGAGAGAAAGAAAAGATACTGTTCATCACTGGTAAAATATAGTCTAGAAAGAGATGATGAATTAGTTCTTGGCTTTCGTTGTAATCTCTTGATGTCCTAAACTGTCCATTGCCGTAAAATTCAATTCTCGGACAGCTAAAAACGAAATTGTGCAGTCTTTTTTTCTCTCTCTTTTTTTTAAATGGTTTTACTTTGGGAAAATTAAGTCATACATTTTCATAAGACTTCCAATGTATAAATATCGGCTGAGTAAACATTGTACCTTGACTCTTTCAATTCAATTAATGCTAATCAACCTTATCAGCTTAAGTGGTAATTGGGTTATTAAAAAAAAAAAAAAACGTGCTCTGGTTGTTTATTTCACGCTTCATTCTTGTGCAAAAAGTTTTTTAAAAGTATTTTTAATTTAAAAATATATTAAAATATTTTCTTTATTTTTAATGTCAATACGTTTAAATTATTAAAAAAACATTAAAAAAAATTAATTTGATAATCTTTTAAGGTAAATACAATTTAAAAAAAAAACATTCAAAAACAAAACCTACCACGCTCAGTATCTTCAAACTTTGATACTTGCAGAACAGCTGGTATATACTTGACATAATTTGCACATAGTCTAGATTCCTTGATGATCAGTGAAGCATTACTATTGAAGGGATGATAATGGAGTTATTTCTCCTCCATCCACTCTTTTTTACCAGAATATCGCAAGTATACGTGCAACCATTACACAGGAATACAATCAATGATGAAAAACAAACGTTCGCCAGCGGGAGCTGCTTCTTTTCTGTGGTTTTATGTTTTGCCCGCTAAGGATTAGGAAAGGAAGGTGTATTGCATGAAATTTATTTGGAAATATATTAAAATAATATTTTTTTATTTTTTATTGATTTTAAATAAAAAATCAAATTTAAAATTTAAAAAAAATATAATTTCAGCTCAATGTTCAATTTTCATCACTTTTCCTCAACATTAAAATTGTGATGAAGTTGAGACCACAGGTCATGAATTAATTAAAAGATGCCATAAAGGTTGCATTATGACTGCTACAGTCCAACTTGCTAGCAAGATGATTTTTATTTTTTGATATTTAAGTTTTTATAATTTATATTTTAGCCCCGCATGAAAAGTACTAAAATTAAAAAAATATAAATAATAAAAAAATAATATTAATATACTCTAAAAATAATTAAAAATTAGTTGAGGATGTTAAAAAATCCTTCTCAATTCTTATCTAAAATGGGGTTGAATACCAAAAATGAGCCCAAAAATTTTATTTTGTTTGTCGTTTTGTATCCGGGATATGACATTACACATAATGCATATTCTGGATATTTAATTTACTTTTAAACAATAAAACGATTATGTTTAACTGTATTTTTAGATAAGAATCTTGTTATTGAGAAGGACTTGTCTTGAACCTTAAGTTGAAGACAAACTAACAATTAAAAATTATAACACAACTTTGAATTTTAACAGATAAAACAATGCAGTCTACTATAGGTAGGGCATATTTGAGATACTAATATCTTTTCTTTATGCAACCAGTCTATATACCTAATCTCTGAGATCAGTTAGGGTTCCTAATAATTAAAATATTAGGTGGCGACTCCTATTCAATTTTTTATTAATAAAAAATATATTTAATGTTTCTTTATATTTTATTGAAAATACACTGTATTTATATTTTTATCTCTTTTCTAGATGATAAATAATTACCGTAACGCCATATATGTACAATAAATATTATAAAATTAATATTTATAACAAATATAAGATAAAGACTTTCGACATGACTGATGACAAAATGGTACCTCGGGAGATGAAGGTGCAGCAAGTTGAGCAGATTCCGAATGGATTCCTAGTGAGATAAATAGGGTTCTTCCTATTAATTTGTACCCATTTTAATGAACAGTAGCAAGTGTGTTGAATACACCAAATTCAAAACTCTGTTTGACTGTAGCAAGTGAATTGAATTTTGAGTCTATTAGTCTTAATTGCATCATATTGCTTCCATCATGAATCCGCAAGTATATTCATATATGGGTCGAGAACATCTCACACAAGTTTTGAGAATGTAGGTTTATGGTTAGGATTTAGACAAGAGAAGAAAAGGATGAAGGTGATGGCTGTTTTTTTTTTTTCTTGTTTTAATGATAAAGTTATAATTTTTAATATAAAAGTTATTTAGTCATTAAATATAAAAAGATTAATTATAAATTTATAAATAATCAGATTTTTTTTATCAAGTCTTCGGAGAGGATATTAAATTCAGAATATAAATTATAATTTTTAAATTATAATAATTAATCATAATTTGAAACAATTATAAAACCTTAAGAGTAATTTTTCTAAAAAACAATTAACCAAAGAGCAACAAAATTACAACATTGAAGCTTGTAAAATATAAAAGTCTATGGCACATAAGTATTTTTCTTCTTAATTGATTAAGAAATTAAGAGTACATGATCCTCGTCCTCATGGAGAATGTTGAGAGTATACGATTTTTACCTAAGCCATTATCCCTTTTCTAATCTCTAATATATTTTTTTGACAAACATTACTTACAAAAAAACTCTATTTTATCAAATTACTATAGTATGTCCCATTCTAGAGTAAATTAATTAACCCAATAGGTTCTTCGACTTAAATCTTGTAAGTGTAAATTTTGGATAATCATGGCTTAATGTGTGTGAGAGAGCCTTGTTGCAGATGAAGAAAAATACTAAAATTTAGTCATATATATGTAACTTTCATTGAACTGGTCTTGTGCCAAAACACGATTGCATAATAATATTGCAGACATCCATCTCTCTTATTAATTAGTACAATAACCAGAAAAGGGCAGACATTGGAGAATCGTCACTCCTTATTTCATTTTTGGGAGAAATTAAAGCAACAGCATGCTTGAAATCTAACCAATGACAGGGACGCGAGTGACAATTCTGTTTTGGTCAATCCAAACACGAACCCTAGTGCAAGAGAAATCTTTAGTCACTGGTGTTCCTTCCAGCACAACTTGAGTGTCAACGTAAGGGTTCTGCGTCTCAATTGTCACAACAGCAACCCTTGCTTGTGCTCCAAGGAGCTCTGGCCATGAACTTTTACCTGCAAGTGCAAAGACATTTTTGTTACAACACACGCACATTCCATTAACAAATGCCATTAATCCTGAACTATGAGTTTATTCAGAATTACCTTGACAGTCTGATGCTATATCTCTGATCTTCTTGCCTCTCTTACTTCTTTGATGTTGTTGTACATGTGAGACCCTGATATTGGGTATTTATAGAGCAACATTCAGTAGTTTGTCTTGACGGGAACTGAGTTTTCAGCCATTACATTCAAAATTCAATCCTGTGCAGCTAAACGAGAAATTGGACCTCCCACATTTAGACGATTTTCTTGCGGGATTAATCATTCAAAACTTATCCTTGTCAGCTTCAACAATGTATAGGTAGTTGAAAGTTGTGCGTGCTGTTTTCTTTTTTCTTTTTTTTTTGGTTTTAGTAATAAAAAAGTCATGATTTCTTGTGAACTTCCATGTTGATCCAGTACTTGTACACATATCTAGCCGAAACATTTTACTTTGATTGGTTCGATTAATTTCTCATGGACCTTAATGGCTTATGCGTCAGAGTGCAAAAATTCGGACGCCACACTAGCATTCAGCAATGGTAGGCATTATTCTTGTAATTAAAAAATACAGTGCGTACGCATGCCTTTTTCTGTCCCTCGGTTTATTTGACCGGAACACGTCAAGAGTATTGCAGCCACGTCACGTAACGCACACAACTATGAACTCAAAGCGTTGTTGCAGGCATTGAAAGATAAAGTCCAGAATTGCAACAATTGGCTTTGATATAACGAAACAAAAGGAGAAAAAAAAAATATATACCTATTTTAATTCTTCTATTTTTGGTCAATTTCCTACAATTAAAGTAGAGATTTGTTAAAATTTGATCAATTTCCTACTATTAAAGTAGAGATTTGTTATAATTTGATGAGCGCTTTAATATTGCAACTCCTCTACTATTTATACAAGTGGGGCATTATATATATGTTATGGTATAACTTATTACATGTGATAAAACTATATAAAAGGAAATATAAAATTTTCTATATTACAACACATCTCATAATACGTCCCTTCAAGCTGAGGGTGAGTGATCCACGTGAAGCTTGGAACATAGAGGAGTAAAAATAGAGAAAGCAAGTGGCTTTGTAAGAACATCTACTAATTGATCTTTAGAGGAGATGAAGCGAATCTGAATCTCCTTCTTAGTCACTCGATCTCGAATAAAGTGATAATCAACCTCAACATGCTTCGTACGAACATGAAAGATTGGATTAACAGACAGATAAATAGCACCCAAATTATCACACCAGATAGTGGTAACAGAACTAAAAGAGAAACATAAATATGATAAAAGATAGCGAAGCCAAAGAACCTCAATAGTACCATCAGCTAAGGCCTTGTACTCTGCTTTAGTGGAGGATCAAGCAATAGTACGTTGCTTACCAGATTTTCATGAAATGGGAGTGGTGCCAAGAAATACAATATAGTCACTCGTGGATTTGCAATCACCAATACTACTAGCCCAATCGGCATTAGTAAAACCATAAAGAGACAAAGCAGAGTCATGAGTAAAGTGGAGACCAAAGGAGGATGTACCTTTTAGGTATCGCAGGATACGTTGAACAGCGGCCTAGTGGCCTTCGGTAAGAGTATGCATAAACTGACATACCTTATTTACAGCATAACAGATATCAGGTCGAGTAAATGTGAGATACTGAATAGCACCAATAATTTGGCAGAATCGTTTGGTATCTGAAAACAACTCAGTAGACTATAGATCAAGTTTGGAAATAGACGCTGGTGTATCAATAAGTTTACATGATGACATACTAGCACGATTCAGAATATCAAGAACATACTTGTATTAACTGAGCACAAGACTCATACTGGTAGGAGCAACTTCAATCCCCAAAAAGTAATGTGCATGACCCAAGTCACAAAGTTTAAACTCCGAGCTCAGCAAGGTAATGAGACGATGAATCAATTAAGAGTTATTACTAGTAATTAAGATATCATCCACATAAGCAAGTAAATAACAGATATCAGGAGTCCCGTTCAAAATAAATAGGGAGGTATCAACTTTTAAAGCCCGAAAACCAATAGTTAGGAGGAAATCACTTAGTCACATATACCAAGCCCATGGTGTTTGTTTTAAACCATAGAGAGATTTGTGAAGGCGACAAATATGAGTGGGCAAAGCAGTGTTGACAAAGCCTAGGGGTTGCTGCATGTAAACAACCTTACTAAATAAGCCATTGAGGAAGGCATTGTGAATATCAAGTTGCCGAATCTACCATCCTTTTGAGATTGCAATTGTGAGAACTAACCGAATAGTAGTTGGTTTAACAATAGGACTGAAGGTTTATGAATAATCTATACCTTCCTGTTGGGTGAACCCCCGCGCAACCAAACGAGCTGATTAGTACTTAAAAATACATTTTTATCAAGGTTTTATGTCATCATTTTGCACTTGAAGTATCAATAACTCCTTAACTAAAACATGTTTTATAATAATATATCTAATAATATAAGATACCTTTAATTTATGGTAAATGTTCATTTTAAATACAGGCCTATCACATAAATGAAAGGATTGATTGATGAATTTAAGAACTGAAATTGAAAGGAGAAAGAGATGGCCAAACTTAGAAAAGAGATGCCAGTGCAATCCAAACCGGAATACTATTTGGTAATTGGGTCATATCTGGAGCTGTAAATCTCAGATTTATGTCTACTTTATATGGATGGAAATGTAAGATATAAAGCTATAACTTTTATATGGAGCCTAAGACTTAAAAAGATAATTTTTAAGTCCAAATTGGAGCAACAACAAAGAAATCTGAATCTGTCTTCCAGCCCCAGCACTGTTCCGTTTTTGGGCCATATCTAGAGTTCTAGAAATTGACATGATCTGAATTTTTTACACAAAAAGGCTGAGACAATTTTCTACAACTTTCATGTTTTCAACTGGCTCCAATTTTGA